TGAATACTAAAAAATTAGTTCCATGTCTATTATCATTTATTTGCATCCTTAAAAATATGCACGAGGTTGATGAATTCAGGTGAAAAAAATCTCTACTGTCATTTTTCTTTCTTGACATGCTACACTAAATTATTTTTTGCTTGAAATCTAAATGGAGGTGCAAATTTTTGGAAGCTAGAAGACATTCACAGAAGTCAGTTTTGCAAGTATGTTTCATCATGAGAAGAATAAAACAACTCCCATACCTTTCTCTGAGTAACCTAAAAATGATGATGTGTTTACTTACAGACTCCATTATTTATGGGACTTACCATTTTTAGTTTGGTCTCTAACGGAGGCAGAAAATGACTGTTTTTATACATATACAAGACTTAATTTTTCTTTTTTAATGTCATAAAAGTTTGAACGTATATATTTAAAGCAGAATGAAGGAGATATGTTAAAAAAAAAAAGTAACAGAGTCTTACATTAATGTAAAGTATAAACTCACTTATGCCCTGCAATTAGATCCACCCGTAGTTAAAGGTGAAAGCCCCTACTACAAACCACAGGCATAAGAGTACATTTTACAGGGAGCTGAGGCAGGCAGAGGGCTGACAGTTGAGGCTATCATCTATGATGTGCCTAAAAAAGACTTCTTTTTAAAGAGTGAAATCACTTACACTCTTTTTCCCTGGACAAAAGTCACCCTGAGTGAACAAATTGTTTTACCCTTTTTTCTATGACCCTTAAATTACAATCCCCTACCTTTTGACAAATCTTCAGAAAAGTCTGATATAACCACAGAAACTGAAGTAGCAGTGTTATGATAATTAAAGAGTCAGGACAGTTTTTACTAAAAGCTAGCAGAGTTTGGGACCAGTGGATGGTATAATGATTACATTGTGGGCCTCCCACCATGGTTAGAGTCCTGGACCCAGAAGCTTAAAACTCACACCGGGCACATATGCAAGTGTGCCCCAAAATCCCAAAAGGAGAATGTAAGAAAAGGGACTGTGGCATGGCCATCCCTGAAGTCGCTGATTTCTAGCTTTCTGTCTTCCCCTCTGTCACTAGTGAGTGCACATGCCATATTGCAACAATCCCTCTTAAAAAATAAAAAAGTTAAAAAAAAAAAAGTTAGCATAGTTCAATGCTAAAAAGATAGGATCCCAACAGGTTACATATTACATGATTCCAACTATATGACACCCTGGCCTGGAACTATGTCAAAACTATCGGGACAATAAAAACAAAAGAAAGAAGAAAGAAAAAGAAAAAAAAAATCGATGGTTGCTAGGAATTAGGAGAGAGGCAGGGATGAAGAGGGGAACTCAGAGAAGGTTAGGAGAGTAGAACTATTTTGTGGAATACTATGATGATGGATCCTTGCCATTGCAAATTTGTGAAAGCCATATAAAGCACACCTCCAAGAAGGAACCTTAATGGAAGCTATGGACATGGGGTCGTCATCATGCGTCATTCTAGGTTATTGACGGTAACAAATCTATCACTGTGGTGCAGGATGTTGACAGAAAAAGAGGGCCATGTGTGAAGTTGGCTTAGGGCATATGGGAAATCTTTGCACTTTCTACTAAATTTTGCTATGAACTGAAAAATTCTCTAACAGTCTGTTCAAACAAACAAGCAGACAAGGTAGCCTGCTTGATACTGAGCGCATGTCTGATGGCGACGGCAAGGTGTTAATGCTCTATCCAAGAAACATTGTGGGAGCTCATCAGGGGCTTGAAACTCAAGGAAGCATAGCAAAACCGTCTAGGGAAATATTTTTCCTTATATTTCTACTTACTAAAATCCACTGGTGGCACCTGGTGGTGTTGAAGAAACCCTTCTTCTACCAATTGGTAGAGTATGCAATGAACTGGCTTTTCTCTGCTAACTCCATGACCTCGTATGGGAAAGTAGCCTTTCTCCTAACCCTTGAGTGGTGGATTAAGTATTTATGTCATGATTTGCACCTCAGTTTCTAGTGTGCGTTGCAGTTCTTCTCTTAAGAGGACAGTGTGTACTGAAATCTGAACCACATTGAATTCTTGGCAAACTCAACACCAATTCAATCCCACCAATCAGGGTCCCTGGAAACCTAAAATCAATTATGGCTGACACTTCAAGAAGCATGGTTTGAACTGCGTGGGTTCATTTCCATGTGGATTTTTCAAAACTAAATACTTTAAATGTGTTTTCTCATCTTTACGATGTTCTTAATAGCATTTCCTTCTCTTTAACTTACTTTACTATGAGAATACAATATATAATACCTTTGACATATAAAGCAAGTGATTGTTATTTTATCCATAAAGCTTCTGGTCGACAGTAGGCGGTTAGTAGTTAAGTTTTAGAGGAATCAAAAGTCACATGTGGATTTTCTACTGGGGGGATGTTGGCACCTCTAACACCCATGCTGTTCAAGGGCCAAATAGTCTAAGAATTACTGGGTCATCAGAAAAGTCATGACGTATATTGTCTATACAAAAAAAGGTGTCATGACTTTTCTGTCGACCCAATACTGAGAGTTTTCTGTACTATGTCAGGTATCGTCACTTTCTGTTGAGTTGTGCACTTACACCGGATAGGACAGATCAAAGATCTCTGAAAGCAGATGTTGTCCAGATCCTCTGATAATGTGGCTGGCACCACTGGCTCCAGAATCTCTCCTAATTCCTAGTTAGCCCTTCAGATTTGGCTTTGGCCTGTCATTCCTGGTTTGCTCACCCCTTTGTCTGACTTCCTCTGAGGTATAATTTAGGCCAAACTAATATGACTTACACCAGTGTTCCCACTGATCATGGCTGTTTTCAGTGCTCTATTTCCTGGCATGACGACACTAAAAAGTCTTGGAAAAAATCATCTGCATAGAAAATCTAGCAATAAATACTTTTGACTACTATGTTTAACAAAGCATTCAGAGAAATATAATAGAAATTTCATTATTTTTATGCTCTTCTTTTTTCTTTTTTGTTTTTAAGAGAGACTTTTCCTCTAGAGTACATGCACTTGCCAGAGAGGCACAGAGAGACAGAGAGACAGAAAGGGAGAAATTACCCCCTAGGGTAGATGACTACACTGCGGACAGATCTCCCCCATTCTCCATTGGGATCTTAGGCACAAGCACACACACACACACACACACACACACGTACCTGGTGTGAGTTTTAAGCCACCGGGTCCAGCATTCAAACTGTGGTCACCTACATGGGAGTCCGGTGACATAACCATTATGCCATCTGCTGGTCCCTATTTTTATATCCTTCTAAAGAGATTTTTTTCTCTTTGAACAAGAAAAGGCAGTTTCTACAGAATATTCATTTGTGGAGACAGTAGATTCTAGAAGTGCAGGTATTTAGTGAGGAGGAACAGGGTTTAATTGCCAGTTTGATCATTTAAAAGGTCTGAGAACTGCAGCATTTTATTCAACTGATGTTATTCTTAGTGTCCACATCTACAAAAGAAATATAATGACAATATCTTTCCGGCTGGTTGTGAGGACAAACTGAATAAGAAAACATATGTAAAGCCTTTATAGTACAATGCTAGCTGTAATAACTGATATGATTACGTTCAAATACTCAATTTGAGGAAATGCATTCCTAGTATTGTGGCTTGAAAATCATTGCTCATGCTGCTTTTTGTAGGAACTAGCTCTGATTTGGGTTTTAAACCAGGTAAGTCTTTGGTTAGACGTTCATTCTATATCACTTATTGTTTCTGTAAAAGAGGTGCATGACTTTCAAAGTAAGTGAAATAAAATACCAAAGCTCACTAGTGTCAACATCAACAGACACTTAACAAAAAACAACTTGCAACTGATTCATGCTGTGTTTAAGGTGATGTCACCAAGTTAATAAGTAATAGAATTTTCTTAAGAAGTTCAAAGTAGACTAGGAAATAGACATTTTTCATCACAACTTAAGGAGGTTTTAAGCTCATTATATGCTTATAGAAATGAAGAGTTCTCAATTACTTCTGATGACAATTTTTCTTTCTTAAATCTTGACCAAAAGTAAAAAAAAAAAAACCATGATTATTTAGATGCAATGTATTTAAGAGTGAAATGTGAAATCCTTTCCATTAGACTATTTAGCTCACGCATATGAAACAAAACAAAAGACACAAAACAAGATAGAAGCAATTTACGTGTAAAAAGTGTTCTTTTTTCCTCATTTTTTTGTAGTCTAAAGCAAATCATGAGTCATGTCAAGAATAAGAACAGATTAAAATTTCATCCCATTTTTAAATGTCAGTAAAAATTTAGATAAAGTGCATTTTATTTATCAAACATGGAACATCTGGCTAGAAGACATTGCTGTAACTCCTTCTACCCACGGTTTAGCTCTCCAGTCTCCTCTGTTTGAATCGCCCCATACCTTCATGTTTTTTAATAACCTCCCATTTATTTCTGAAGGATTAATAGTTGGTGCTCTTTAAAAAAAGTTTACCCTTAAATTTAACATTTACGTTTTTATCCTCAAATTTAACTTACTTTCCAAAGTTATCAACAAACTATGAATTTTCCCTACCAAATGTAAATAATCTGCCCGTACTAAACAATTAGAGCTTATTGATGCAAACATCTGCTTAAAAAGCTATGAGTTCAAATCAGTTGCAATCTTACTAACCAAATGAATCTCCCATACCTGCGAAAAAACAAAAACCAAACAAAACACGTTGTTGTATATACACGAAGGGTAAATGTCCATTTCCACATATAACTACATTAAAAGTAAACATCCAGAAACTCTCAAATCAACTTTTCAAACTAGAACACATTACCTGGTGACACGATCCTAACACACACAACAAATTTCTCCCCCCAAAGAGAAGTGATACATTATGATGTACTAGGCTACTGAAGCTTTTATGTCATTTTTTTCACTCTGATTTTTTTTGTTTTTTTTGATAAAACAGAGATTAGGTCATTCGTGTACCATCCCATCTGCAGGTACACAAATAACTTAGGTTTAAGGAAGTAAATGGAGAAGGCGGTTTTGGGGACAGCTTACCGTTGTCGTCTTCTCGCACCCCCTTGCTGAGCTGCTTCAATCTCTTCTGATGTGATTTGCCATTGTAGTGGATCTGTGCTTGGGCGGCTGAATTTAGCTGAATGTTACACACGTTGCATAAAGTAAAGTTGGTGTGTTTCTTTTCTCTTTCTGGTTTTTCTTCGAAGTCATCTGGCATGAACTCAGGCTCGCTCTCCCCATCTGGTGCACACGTGAAATCTGGGAGAGCAAAGACAGGTAAGAACCTATCAAGACTTCCAGGTTGCATGTATTAAATTGGGTAGCAAAGAAGAGTTGTTCTAGACAGTGAAGGATTGGTCATTTCTGCTTCCTCTCATTTTCACAGGTTGCAATTATACTATCCCCAAGCAGATAGCCCTTCATGACACATGGATGACAAATAGTTTCATGGGCTTGTCCTGTGCCCCATACTGTTCCAAGTGTCAGACAGTTATGGAGCATGGGCTACCTCTTTCGGTCATCATGATGGTGGGATAGGCACTAAAGTTTTCACTGGTTCACACCTGAGCTGACTAAATTTCAGAGTAAATAACTTGTCAAAGGTCATTGAGCTAATGAGTGGAAGAGTTGGGGTAAAGATTCACTTTTACTTATCTGCACATCCCAAGTTATTAACTTTATGTTCTCTAGTATGCATTAATATATTAGGTATTTTCCTTTTGATTTACCTTAATAAAGGGTCCTTATTTTTTTTTTTTTGAGATTTTTGCTATAGGCCATGTGTGCTTGTCTGAGAAACAGAGAGAGATAGAGAGACAGGCTGTGCTCCACCCCCAGGAGATATGGCCACGCCTGCAATTCCTTCTCCTCCATTCTCCTCTTGAGAATTGGGGCATGCACGCACAAGTGTACCCGTTGTGAGTTTTAAGCCACTGGGTCTGGGACTCGAAATGTGTACGTCTATGTGGGAGACTAGAGATATAACCACTGTGCCATCTGCTGGTCCCAAGGGTTATTTTTATATTCCTTACTAACACCTGGATGTATACATCTTACACATACAATAATACTAAAATCATTTCTACACTCAAAATTATATATATATTTTATAACTGAAGTATAAAAGACATGCTGAATACTGGGATAGCTTCATTATTTATGTGTAAAAAACGTATAAATGACCTATAAGTTATACTGGACAGCATTTTGTTTGGACAAATATCTCATACACTTTGCATAACTTGATCAAAAGAGAAGGACAATTCACAATTTAATTATCTCTGGTTTTCAGAGAACAAGAATTAAAATAACGATCGCATTTCATGAAGCTGGCAGGTGGCGCTGTGTTTAATGTCCTGGCCAACCGTGGTTCAAGTCCTGTACCTGGTGGCTTGCTTTTTCACTTTCACTCTCTTTCTGTATTTCTCCAGTCAAATTACAAAGTAATAGTAATAATAAAATTAAATAATTCTTTAAAAAGCTTGCAAGTCATATTTCCTTTCCAAAATATTTCTGTGCTTCTACTGTACAGAACTTTCCAGAACTCTTCCATGCCACAATTCCCTTTTCTTCCATTTCTCCATTTCATCAGGATTTTGGACACACAGATGCACACACACACGCACCCGCCCAGCATGTTTTTCAAGCTGCTGAAGCTGGGATTCCAACTAGAGTTGGGCATGTGTAATCCAGCTTCCTTAATAATTAGAATACAAGGGTGGTCACTAATATATAAATTTAACTGGTCATATTTGAAGAGAAAACTCATAAGTTTTATAAAATGACTATATAATTTTAAAGTAAAGTATGCAAACATAGCAGTTTTTATTTTGTATAATAAAACAATTTAACTCTGCTTTAAGTTATATTCAAAATATTCCATTCAATTTTTTAATACAAGGGTGGTCACTAATATATAAATTTAACTGGTCATATTTGAAGAGAAAACTCATAAGTTTTATAAAATGACTATATAATTTTAAAGTATGCAACATAGTAGTTTTTATTTTGTATAAATAAAACAATTTAAGTCTGCTTTAGGTTATATTCAAAAATATTCCATTCAATTTTTTAGAGTTGATTTACACTACTCAAATATCATCAAGTGGTACAAAAGGTTAATTAAATGATAGTGTACTTAGCACCATATTAATCACACAATATCACAGTGCCATTAAAAGTAGGTTGAGAACATTTTATAACATGGGAATTCTCTGCATATAAGTAAAAAATAAATATGCCATGTAAATTTACATATAATAATTTTTTAACTGTGTAAACCCAAACTAGACTTAGGAAAAATATTAGCAGTGTTTGATTCTGAGTGATCACATTAGAGTTGGCTTTTTTCCTTTACCTTTTCTGTATTTTCAACATTTTACATGTTGTTCATTTATTACATTTAATAATGAAAAACTAAATCAATATATTCACAAAGGAGCTTGTATCCTACAGAATGAAGTTTAGCCTTTCAGAAGTAGGTCATGCCATGGACAGAATCGCGGTAGCTAAGCCCTGTGACACGCCATTTTTGCTACATATACGTATATATTTAGAAGGAAACATTTTATTTCTTGACTATATTGTCACAGTGACCTGTAAAATTAGAACATCTGCCAACAATTTATTAGGGGAAAATATGGAAAAGAAATCATCTTTCAAGACTCTGAGACTTATTTGCTTACGCATAGGGGTTCCTAATCACAAAAAATGTGAGGACTGGGTCGTCAAGGCGGTGTCAAAGATTAATTTTGTTGGGAGGTGCAAGGAAAACAGGTCACAAGGGAGGTAGAAGCTAAGACGGTACCTCTGTGATAGGATGTTGGGGGAAAGAAGAAACTGCAAATAAATTATTGTGGCTAAGGTATGACATCTTAAAATATACCTAGAGTTTACAAGGAAACTGCAACGTCTAAAATGGCACTCTCTAAGTGGAAGGGAGTATACACACATGGCGTTTCCTCCCAGTATTCCAAGTGTCATATTTAAGTTGTGGAAGGAAAATTTTGCCCATTTTATTTCCATCGGGAAGAAAACAATTAGCAGTCACACATATGCTTTAAGCAACTGTCTTGGAACACACACTATTTTATCAATTTGTCCATGTTTTCTCCAACTGATCTTCTTCCCCCACAACTAGCAAGACCCTGGCAAAGTGTCTGACTTCATATGGTAATGTGGGGCTTGACTGCTCTTATTATATCATAGTCCTGAGGACCAGAATGATCCTGTGATTGTTGTAGGAATTAGGTGTTTGTTTGGTGTGTGTTTTATATTTTTTTATTTTTTTTTTGAGAGGTTTTTGCTATAGGGCACATGCTCTTGCCAGACAGCAGAGAGAGACAGAGAAACAGAAAGTGAGATATCACCCCCCCCCCCACCAGGGGGATGGCCACACCGCAATCCCTTCGCCTCCATTCTCCTCTCAGGATCTAGGGCACGCGCACACATGAGCCCAGTGTGAGTTTAAGCCACCAGGTCCGGGACTCTAATGGCCGTCGACTACATGGGAGTCTAGCGACATAGCCATTACGCTGACTGCTGGTCCCTGGTGTGTGTTTTAATTTCTAGACATAGAGATGGACTGAATCCCACCCAGTCATAGGAATAATAAAACAGTGATATTCATAATAGAACTCATCTTTGGTAAGCTACATGAAACAATGTACCTGAGCACCATTTGAGAAAGATAAAATTGAAAGATGTACTCTTCCTGGAAGGCAACGTGGTTCTTGGAATTGATGAACATACTACTAGATTAGAATCCAAAGTACAAAATAAATATCAAAGAGTACATACCAATAGAAAGAATTAATGGAAAACATACAAACTTTTTATACAGAAGCACTCCAGATAAGGTAAGGAGATCCTCCCCAACTAAGGAGAGACAGGGCACAACCGCCTACCTGTTCAGTGTAGGCTACACTTACACTTAGTAACTAGCTTCCCAATAGCATAGCATTAAAAGGAAAGAAAGTTGCACTGTAGTGGAGAGACTTGACAGACGCTTACTTCCTTGGTCACATGCTCTAATGTAACATCAGCAGTGACATCATCTGTAAGTACAGTTCCAAGTCTTTTCTTTTCCTGTTAAGAAAATAACCTACTAGCTCACTGATAGGAAAAACTAACACATCTCTAATAAATCCTATGTCTGCTTATGGTTGGGCCCAGTCAAGATGGAAGATGAACTACTTTACACACACACACAGACACACACACACACACACACACACAGTTTTATCAACCAATTTCCATATAATCAACAATTTATAAACTTCATCTTATTTTCTTTAATATTTCAATCCCTGCATAACTGCCACAACCATTAATATAAAACTTAATGATCTAAAATAGTGGATATTGCTTGACAATCAAACTCAATTTTACTGAGTAAAAACATTCCCTACAAATAATGTCAGCATTTTATTTCAAAGTTAACACATCAGGTTCTATTGTTTTGTCCACGACTGATTTTACCCTTTGTTCTTGGATGCTATTTTGTCAAAATAGCAAGCCTCTACAGTCTCTAAGAATCCCAAGGGTTCTAAAAGAATTTGAAATGACAGTTGAGAACGTTGGCTAACAGCCATTTTAGAGCACAAAAGGTCGTATTATAAGGAGTTTTGCAAACAGCTTACAAAGTCATACAACTGGGAGCGGCGAAAGTAACCTAAAATGTCCTCGTTTTCACAATCGTCCCCTCTACCATAAATTTGCATCCATGAGGCAGACAAGGATTTACAAGTAACTTACGCGTGTAGAACTCATTTGGCACAGACCAGCTCCTGTAGGCAGTGGCAGAACCAAGACCAACCACCAGACATTTTCCAGAACTCTTGCTCTGACACTGTATAGAACAATCATTTTTGGTTAAGCTGGAAATAAAATAAAATTTGACCTATAGGGGCCAGCAGGTAGCATGGTGAATAACATTTTGGAATTCCACATGGCTGACATATTCAAGTCCTGGATCTGCTACCTGATTTCTCATTCTGCCCCCACCCCTTGTCTCTGTCTCTGCATGTCTCTCTAGTGAGCATAGGTGCCCTGTATCAAATTAAATAAAAATGATAATGATAAATGAAACTGAGTAAATAATTCTTAAAATAAATTCGACCTAGTGGGGTGACAGGTGGTGTGGTGGTTAAGGGCACTGGTCTCTCACATGGCTGACTGCAATTTGCGTCCCAGACCTGGAGGCTTGCTTGTTCTCTCTCTCCCTCCCTCACACTCTGTCCCTCTCTGGTCAAA